GAATTGGAAAATTGGGCATGCTGGCTGCTTGTTTATTTTAGGGGAATTTACATATGTACTTAACTGATTGCTAAATAATTGTAAAGATACCACAAAAAAAATTTATTTGCACATCTACCTAATCTAACATAAATATTTAAATAAATACTACACATTAAAGACATTCTCTCTCCTCTCTCATTTATCTACTCCTAAAAATTCTCCTTATTTACACTCTCTAAGTCATTCCGTTTTCCTTCTCCGTTATTTTCTCTCCTCTCTCATCTCTTCTATCTTTATTATTTCATTCCTTTAAATTTTAATTATCTCTTCATATAAATTTTTAAATAATTTTTTTTACCTAAAATTTTCTAGTTTATTATACGTTTATAAACCAATAAGAGAATAAATAAATTATGATAAAACATCAAGTAATCAGAATCACATTCACGCAAAATATATACATAATATATACATAAGATATACAGAAAATATATAAGTCCAGAAAATATATAAAATAAACCAGGTAATTTTATCTTTTCGTAATCCTTTTTTGTGTTATTTACATCTCGTGTATTTTCGGTATATATTTATAGTATATTTTCTGGTTTAATACATGCAACATACAATATTAGACTTATATACAGAAAATATACTCATTATATACAGAGGTCATGAATACAAAAACACGAGATAAATCAATCTTGTCATTATATACAAAATATATACAATTGTATATATTGTGTTTGTAGTCAATATATAATAAAAAAATTAAATATGGGCCCAAATGAGAAACACACCAATGAAAATATATATTGAACATATACCGTTTATATACGCAAAAAAAAAAAAAAAAAAAAACTCTCCCTTTTATTCATCGTCCCTGTAAGCACGCCATCAATGGCCATATCCTCGCGGAGCATCATCGGTAGCAACCGCCGCATAGATCAGGGGCATTACCAGGGCGGAGTTCATCTTCATCGCCACTCGGATAAAGCCCGACACTCTGAACCTTGTTCCTCGCGACCGAGAATTGTGCGACGAGGGAAAGACGATGGAGTCCACCATCGAAAATCTCCCCAACCGTCGGAAATTGTTGCTCGTCCACCATCAACACGCTCGAGAAGCCAGCGGTGACGAAGAACTTGGCGAAACCGCAGAGTGCGCCATCAGCACGCTAGATTTGTTGCGGCAGCGGGTTATAGAGAGAGGGTTGAGGAGGAGAGAGAGAGAGATTGATGAGGAGAAGAGAGAGAGAGAGAGAGGGATGGGAAGGAGAGAGACCATATAATTAGGGTAGTTACCTATTCAAACAAACTTCTAGTATATATGTAAATAATATAATAAGTTTTAGTTACTTTGCTAATAAATATATAAGGGTTGTAAATGTGTAATAATGTTGTAAATGTTTAGTAAACTATGTAATTTTCTCTTTATTTTATTTGGTTGGGTTGGGTTAAGGGCTTGGGCTAAGGGCTGGGCTAAGGGTAAAATAAAAAAAATAAAAAAATTGAAGCCAGTATGTGTAAAAAAAA